GTTGTGAAAGCGAAACTACTTTGTTTGGCCTTCCAAAAATGGACACGACTAGAAATCAGTGGTTAAGTTGTATTTACAACACTGTTCCAGAACAGTTCAACCCAAATATTCAGATGTGTGCAGCACATTTTATGGAGGACTGTTTCCTGATCCTGGTAGAGTAGACTACCAGATACAATGCCGGCTGTTCTGACTCACAGACTGTAAGTACATTTTCATTTAAAGAATTTGCCACTGACGATTCAAACGTGAGTTTTGAGCAGTGTAGAGTAGTGCTTGTTGTTTGTCATTTCTCCGATCACAAATGCAGACATGGTTTTATGTTTACGCGGCGCGATGCAACGCAACGCGTAAAAAGACAGTATAAGTCATTATAATCCGTAATTATGTCCCCACTGAATGCAACAAATGCCTCGTTTATAATGGATTTTAATGTTTTCCTCTCGTCGCTCCGGCCGGGAGACGGCATCACAGTATGGTAAGGGGTGTAACATTTCCGTCACACGCTTGAGGTATTCGGCCAATCACAACGCACTGGATAGCTCGCCTATCACAGCACACCTCGCTTTTCAGACCGATGAGCTTTGTAAAAATCGACGCGTTTCAGAAAGGCAGGGTATAGAGGAGAAACAATAATGTACTGTATGTGGAAAATAATGTGTTTTTTTAACCTTAAACCGCATAAACACATTTCATTACACCAAATACACAAAATAATGTTCTTTTTAGCAGCATCATATGACCCCTTTAAATAGCATTTTCAATTGACACTAGTGTGATGATGTGCAGAACACATACTAGCTGGCTTATGACTGCAGAAATTACTGTGGTTTTTATTCAGTTTTCTGTTATTTATTTATTTTTTATTGCATGCACATTTTAAAAAGACATCATATTAAGCATTAGTCTTTCAAAGTTGTCTTTATTTAGTAAACTAAATTAAACATTGACTAAAAAAGGACTACTTTCATATAATAGCTCATTTATCTTTTGTTTATGGTGAAATTAAGTTTTGAAAAGCCCCAAAAATATTATACTGACCTACATGAAGTACATTTTTAAAGAAAATATACTGAATAGGTGTATGGTGTTTATACTAATCTTTTTACTTTGTATGAGTGTTTTTGTCTTTAGGAAAGTAAATATTTTTTGATTAATATTAAATCAAAATGCAAGGTTTGAGCCAACCCATAAATATAATTGAAGAGAAACTTATAAGAAAAATTATAAGCTGGTCTAAAGTATAAATTTATCAAGATTTTGCGTTTATTATTATTAACTATTTTTAAATTCTATAAACTGCAAAACCACTTGAGATCATTTGTACAACCTTTCAAAAAAAGTAAATGCAACGACAGCATTATAAAACATAAATTACGAATCATGCATGCAGAATGTATACAGTAGCCACTTTTCTTACAGCATGAGAAAGTTTTTTTTTTTTTTTTAATTAAAAAAAACCTTTTTAACATACTGATAATTTTGTCATGCTCATTTCTCTTACATTCGTATGTGGAAAGTTTTTATCAGCCACAATTGTTTACTCACACCCTTCAGATTGAAGTTCCTGCTGTTGTTTCTGCTCATCTATTCCAGCATGCTTTCTGAGTCAAAGGCGAATGCATTTATTACAACCTTTGGCTGCATATATAGGCTGGTGGTTTCAGTTAGTGTTCAGTTTGATGGAGCGTTTAGACTAGATGACGGTACATTATAGTTGTATGAATCATTAATCAAGTAGCACTTTAATTCGCAATTGGTGAACTGCAAAGTGTTTAATTAATGAAGTCAGACAGCAGCCTGGGGCTCATATATAATATGTAGTGTGTATTGCATTACAGAATGATACTGTTGTTGCTTCCTAATTGGAATATCAATTTTGTTTTCATGAATTGTGAAGTATGATCCGGACATATTCATGACAGGTTTAGTGAGATTCACCCGGCTTGTTTCATAAAGCAGGGCTGCACATCATTTAAGTTTTATTGAATTTTTGAAATCAGACCTGCTAATCAAGACCTGGTCTATTTTTTACTTTATGTCTTGAATAATTATGTGTGTAATGTTTGAATAAGGTGTCTGTGAAAGTGTGCATGGCTCACCAAAGTCTTGGTACATTACTGTCATCAGTAATCAGATGTATGTGCTTGAGTGCATTGCATATGAATATGTATGTTCATCTCAAACTTGTGTGATTTCTGCATCTCTGTCAGTACAGATTACTATGGTTTAACCTCTCACTTCTGCTGCCAGAGGCTGTTTACTGGCATTTCTGGTTTGTGCTTCCTATCATGTTTTTATTTCTATTAAAGTTCTTTGTTACCTGAAGAAATGCTTGTCATCCAAACAATTAAAAAGACCCTAAAAAATACTGAATAAACACCTGCGGATTAAAATCGGTATTTTCTTTTGTCAAAAATTGAGACTGAATAAGCCTCGAATGAAAATACTACTATGCAGTAGTTCATAGTTGTAACTCCAAGGTTCTTCATTGTCCAAAACAACATTCTACACAGGCTCTTATACATCGTCTTGTGCTTCTGCTGCAATGATGTCAAAATGTGGAGAGGATAAGGACACATTAGTTTGAGAAGCCCTATTTTAAAATCCTTAAGCAGATTTCTCCCAAATGTAAGCATGTGTAGTGGTTAATTTTTGCCATTTAGTGTTATGGGAGAAGAAAAACAGGCTTTTGGCTTCTTGTACCCTGCATGTTAAAATTTTAAAGACATAAAGTGTTATTGAAACATTATTTTTGCATACACACTTCCGATCAAAAGTTTGGAATAATTGAAACACCTTTTTATGTTTTTATAAAAAAATCTCTTATGCTCACCAAGGCTGCATTTAGTCGATTAAAACTACAGTAAAAACAGTAATATTGTGAAATATTATTAAAATTTAAAATAACCATTTTCTATTTAAATATATTTTAAAATGTAATTTATTCCTGTGATGCAAAGCTGAATTTTCAGCATGATTACTCCAATCTTAAGTGTCACATGATCCTTCAGAAATCATTCTAATATGCTGATTTGCTACTCAGGAAATATTTCTTAAAGGGGTCATATGATGCGATTTCAATTTTTCCTTTCTCTTTGGAGTGTTACAAGCTCTTGGTGCATAAAGAAGATCTGTAAAGTTGCAAACACTAAAGTCTCAAAATCAGAGATATTCTTTATAAAAGTTAAGAGTTAAACACGCTTACCTAAAATGGCTCGTTCTAACACGGCCCCACGTACCTACGTCACGATGTGGGAAGATTTGCATAACGCCGCCCAAATGTTCACGCAAAGAAAGAAGGCGTAACTTTTATTCTCGCTGTAGTATTGTTGACACTGCAGCCATGTCGTGAAGACGCTGTGTGTTTCGTTGTGAAAGCGAAACTACTTTGTTTGGTCTTCCAAAAGAGGACGATATCCGCTTCGTCATGCCTGGAGCTAGCCCGCCTCAGCTCACTCTATCCCGGCCTCAGCGCATGCTAAGCCGGGGCTTCCCCTCTTAATAATTGGTCTCTATGGATGCTGGAGAACAGGTGTTTAACATCAGAGCTGTTACTGTATGTCCTTCAGTATGACTGGAATGCTTTATTGGCCAGTCAGCATCCAGAATAATACCTATCCGTTTTTATATTGTTCCAGCTTGCCCGTCTCAGAGTGAATGTCCCTTCTGAATCCATTTGAGTCTCAATGTGACTGATAATCATCTGTAATCTGTGTCTCTCATCAGAGTGGGTGTTTGGGCCCCGTTCAGACAACCGCAGGAGCAAGAGTGAGGTGAACTGCATCAGCAGCAGCATGAATGAAATGAGCGAACTCTCGCATCCAGCGGACATTCGCTGCATCGTGTACAATCACTCTGATTGCCCGAGCGCCATAAAGGCGGAAGAACTGGTGGTCACCATCGATGAGACCTCGCAACTACCTCGTGAAGCTTACAGTGGGACCTAACTGAGACCAAACTATCACCGTTTGATCCAGCCCTTTATTATGAGGAGAAAAGCATGTTTGATCAGCATCTGTGATGTTGAAAGCCGGCGTGTTGAAGTCACATGGCGGAAGACTTATCCTGGGATGAAGAAAACTGAAGAATCTGGGAGATTTTAGAAGGAATGGAATCACTTTAAAGTACATTAAATGTTCCGTATTGAGTGCTGTGAGACACTTTATATATTTTCAAATCGAATAGAGAAAGAGAAAAGACACTTCTTTATCATTCATACCAGTCTTGTCACAATGTTTTTCTTGTTTTGTGGAGACATGCACTGTGAATCTAGAATAGTGTTCTGCTGTTATCCATTTCCTACTCTACCTACAACCCGCTACGGTTTGATTTTCCCACTTTTTGCAGATATTTATGGCTGAGTACTTATGGTATTTGCAAATACTCACATTTGACTCAATTTCAGGTTTTCTGCTATCGACTATGCTGCTTAAAAACAGAAATGCTTAGAGATCTTCTCCCTACAGGTTGCTTGAAATTGCAAATAATGAAGATGGTTTAGATAAATAGCCCTTGTTGAAAAAATGATCAATAGAATAGTTAATCCACAATGGCTTTTTCATCCAAGGCCGTGTTACCAAAAATGTGTTTTATAATGGAGAGAGATGCTACACAAACACTTCTCACTGAAAATATACATTTAAATGGTAGAAAACTGCAGTTAAATAGATTTTTGATAATATATGTGAGTTATATATTGACAAAATGGTCTAAAAAAATCATATCTCTGTTTACTTCACAACTAAAAGGGCTATAATTTCAGGTTTTATTGCAGATGGTCACCATAATGAAGCTTCAGATCTGAACATCACATTTTTAAACAGATATTAAAGTCAGTGTGTAAGGCATAATTAGCAGAATTATCACTTATCAAATGTTTCAAACTGGGAAACTTTGCCAACTTCTGCTGTCCTCTCTTTCATACATTTTTAACGATAAAAGTGAAAAAGAAAAATAGCTAGGCAATTTACCTGGTCACTCCTGCCATATCAACAACTTGTTTTGACCTTTGTTGCCAAAGTGTAATTGCTATGTCAGATGTCACAAAAATGCAAAAAATACTAAAATAACTCGTTTTGTTGTAGGCCTAATTCATATGTCCAGTCATGCCATGTAACAATAATCAAAATATGTTACAAAAGTTGTATAAAAACACAGAAAAGATGTTTCTCCTGGTGTTCATGTCATGTCCTGCATTTTACACGAATGCCACAAAAGTCACCTTAATAAATGTGTGACATTATGTCTAATTTATCTAAAACAACTTGCTTGGTATTCATTTTTACATAATTGTTTCTGCTACAAAAACAAAGCCTGGTGCATTTTTAAGAACTTAAAAAGTTATTAGTGGGTACTTTTTCAGCGATATTAATGCGAGCAGAAAAACAAGTTAGTCTTCAGCACAGAAAAGTGACGTGCAAAGGTTTCCAATGTTGAGAATTTTTAATACATTTATAATTCAATATTAAACATCTATTATAATTATCATACTTTTACTATACTATTATAAATATTAAATAACTCTTATTTTCCCACTGTTTTCTTATTTTGTATTTTTAGTTTTAAATGAATGAAAATAGAACAAATAACAAACAGAGCATAGCATAAGACAGTCAGTGCTATAACAAGTTAGTCTTCAGCACAGAAAAGTGACGTGCAAAGGTTTCCAATGTTGAGAATTTTTAATACATTTATAATTCAATATTAAACATCTATTATAATTATCATACTTTTACTATACTATTGTAAATATTAAATAACTCTTATTTTCCCACTGTTTTCTTATTTTGTATTTTTAGTTTTAAATGAATGAAAATAGAACAAATAACAAACAGAGCATAGCATGAGACAGTCAGTGCTATACAAAGTGTGACATTAAATAGTAACGGGAACTGAAAATAATGTGATAATATTTTAAACATGTTAATGACTTTGTGTTTTTTAACAATTTCAGAGAAGGTATAAAACAATCAAATTCCACTAAAAATACCTTAAATATTGGGGATGAGTTTAAGCATTTTTGTTTATGTATATACAATTTTGCCAGCAATATGAATAAATTAACAATGTATTCAAGACCTTTGTTAACATTGTTTTCATAGTACACAATAATATCCTTTAAAGAAAAACAGTATTTATCCTTTACTAGATTAAAAATTAATTCTGCCAATTCCTTCCCCACCTCTTTCTCATTTTTACAAAAGGAGAATAAATCATCAATATCAGAGTATCTTGAAATGATTGATTTAACAGGGTAGATGGTATGCAACGTTTTAAAATGTATTTCTTTAGTTTTGTTATTGATACAATATTTAAAGGGAATTAACCAAGCAGTCTTCCAATTAATATGATCAATAATAGAGTTCCAATAGAATTTTCCTCTAGGTGTTATTTTATTTAGTTTTTGGAAAACAGTAGAAATATGTTTGCTATTGCATTTTTTTTTATCAATTCCCACCGTTTTATTTTTATTCTGAGTGTATGCGCAATGACGTTTAAAAGTAGGCGGGGCGCAGTGACGTCATCTCTACAACATTCCGCACTTCCTCGAATCCTCGCTCGCGCTGACGGTCGCCTGCAGCTCTCATTTGAGCTGCTCTGCGTTTATATTTCCACGGCCGGTCATTTTTTTTTTATTAATAAACAGAGTGCTCGTAAGTACAGATATCTATATCTATGCAGTGTTTAACGTTAAGTTGCGGCTTCTGTTGTAGCTGCGTTTGTGAGGTAAACTCTCAGTCGCGGAGGAAGTCCAACTTTGTTGTGTTTTTATGATAACATTAACGTTACGTTACTTGTCTTTACCGTGAAGGGACTTTTAGCGGTTTGTCTTCTACCTTTTTTGTAACGTTGCAGGTGGCGAAAGTCACTTTTACCCTATTAAAATGATAAAGGCTGTTAAACCTCTGAGGCAAAGTTTCAAAATCAAGGCTTTTGAAAGGATGTGCAGGAGATTCTGAAAGAAATAGCCTACCAGTGATAAATACAATTGCAATATATTTTAATATTTTAAAACATTTTTTATAACGTATTAAATATAAAATGTCAAATTATATCAAAGGTAGACCATAACGTTTTATTGAGATCTTGCATACAAAAATTAATTAAATGAGTTAAGTTAGTCAGGTTAGTTTATTCGATTCATGCTTTCTATTTCTGTATGGAAGTGTGTATATATATATATATATATATATATATATATATATATATATATATATATATATATATATATTTGTACTTATATATATACGATATTTTTTATTTAGTAGCCTACTGTCCTGAATAGGCTATTTCACATATACATATAGCCTACTCCAAGACAAAATAATAACTGAATTTATAAAAATGACCCCATTCAAAAGTTTACATACAGTACCCTTGAATCTTAATACTATGTGTCATTTCCTGGATGATCCACGACTGTTTTTTGATATTTTTTGATAGTTGTTTATGAGCCCCTTGTTGGTCCTGAGTAGTTCAACCGTCTGCTGAAGAATCCTCCAGCTCCTCCACGTTCTTTGGTTTTCCAGCGTCTTCTGCATATTTGAACCCTTTCCAAACTATGATTTTGAGATCCATATTTTCTCACAGGACAACTGAGGGACTCATACACAACCATTACAAAAGGTGAAAACATTTACTTATGCTCATTTGCATGTATTCACTGCTTTTTACTTGGTTACAGTAAGTTTAAAAAAAATATATACTGTAAAACTGGCACAGATTACGTTTCTAAGGAAAGTATGTTAATTTACTGTACATGCACTCAAAACCTCCTTTTGCATGAATTACTGCATCAGTGCGGCGTGGCATGGAGGCAATCAGCCTGTGGCACTGCTCAGGTGGTATGGAAGCCCAGGTTTCTTTGACAGTGACCTTCAGGTCATCTGCATTGTTGGGTCTGGTGTCTCTCATCTTCCTCTTGACAATACTCCATAGATTCTCTATGGGGTTCAGGTCAGGCGAGTTTGCTGGCCAATCAAGCACAGTAACACCATGGTCATTGAACCAGCTTTTGGTGCTTTTGGCAGTGTGAGCAGGTGCCAAGTCCTGCTGGAAAATGAAATCAGCATCTCCATAAAGCTTTTTAGCAGAAGGAAGCATGAAGTGCTCTAAAATTTCCTGGTAGATGGCTGCGTTGATTATGGACTTCAGAAAACACAGTTATTCCTGTAATTTATTCCATTACTCCAGTCTTCAGTGTCACATGATCACATGATTATTATTAATGTTGAAAACAGTTGTACTGATTAATATATTTGCAGTTTTGCCTACATTTATTTATTTTTTATGTATGTATTTATTAATTAATTTGTTTTGTGTTATATATATTTTTTAATTTTAAATGCATTTATGAATGGTATATTTTTGTGTAACCTGCCTCTAGTATCAGTAAGCATGGCATCAGTGCTGTCACAGCTGATGGGTCAGTGGATGGATGTTCAGGGTCTCCTGATATTTCTGTGTGTGCTGCTGCTGGTGAAACACCTGCGAGATGTTCTTACAAACAACATGCCGCCAGGACCCTTCCCTCTGCCTTTGGTGGGGAACTTTATAAATATAGGCTTTAGTGATCCACTTGGCGCCTTTCAGAGGGTAAGTCACATATCAAATACAAATGTGTTAAACAATTCTGTGTGAATGAGTAACGTGTACAGATCATGTTGACAAGATTGCTGAGAAGTATGGAGATGTGAGCACACTGTATCTGGGAAACAAACCGTGCATACTGCTTACTGGATACGAGAGTTTCAAAGAGGCGTTTGTGGAGCAGGCGGACATCTTTACAGACCGGCCGTACTTCCCTATAGTTGACAAGCTCAGTAAAGGGAAAGGTACAGATGCAGAAAAAGCTATATTGCAGCAATCAGTTTCAATACTGGCAAAATCTGAAATCATTTTCGTTCTAAAATTGACCTTTGCCCACTTCATTCTGTCTGTGTAGGTTTGATTATGTCCAGCGGACACATGTGGCGTCAGCAGAGGCGTTTTGCTCTGGCAACTCTCAAATACTTTGGTGTGGGGAAGAAAACTCTAGAAAACTTCATCCTGCAGGAGTGTCGCTTTCTCTGTGACTCTATACAGACTGAACGAGGTCAGTGAGCAACATTTTAGGGGTAAACACCATTTCTTCTCCTTCACAAACAAGATTGTTGTCATTCTTTTACCAAAACTCCAGTGAAATGTTTCAAGACCAGGGAGTGACATTTTCAGTGTCACAATCATGTCTTGAAGGGCCGTATGTACATACTGTCCTCTACAGGCCGCCATCTGCAAATGCAAGTGTCCTTTGAAGGTCAAATATCTGGGAAACCACATGAGAGCTCATCTTTCTGAATGTTTCTCTTTTCATTTAAATAAATAAACAGTGAGATTCAAAAGTCTGAGGCCACATTGAAAATCTGGGATTTTTTGTATCTGTAAATAAACAAATGTTCAGGATTTGAATGTTTTCATAATAAT